AAAAAGCTTTTATACTTATTTTCAGTGGTAAATGTTTTTTTGTAATTTATGCTGCTCTGAAGTAAAGTTGGTAAAGAATCTTGATAAATTTATCGAGATTTTACTGAGACGTCGAGATAAGTCTGGCTCTACTTTTGTTTTTCTTTTTTAAAAAAAGCAGAAATAAAAATATTTTTCCTTACCAATTTTTTTAAAATCATTACTGTTATGTTATTTATGCATACTATCATCAGGGTCATAATTTTAAATGTCAGATATGACTGAAAAAATGAAAGAGTTCAACTGAAGTTCGTTCTTCTTCTTTTTTTTTGTAAGCATACAGAAATCAGCAGTCTATTTAATCAAGCTATGTTGTAGCAGTCTAAAACTTAGATGAGAAGTACAGAAGTATAATTTAGTTGAAAAATGTATTTTTTTTTTTTCATTTTCTTTATCTTCACTTGTCACAATGTAAGTAAGGAGAAAAAACGAGGTTTTTTTTAACTTTTGAACTACTGTACATAGGTTTGGAACAAATATACTGCCATCAATTTCCAATCTGCTGTAATCAGGTTACCAAAGCAGTTGGTGAAATTTCGCCAAGTTAAAGAACTTCTTAACGATATCATTAGTTATCTATTGCAAAATTTTATAGATACCTGCAAAATAGATTTATTTATAATTTTTAGAATCAGCAGTCAGCAGTAATTGGTAAAATGAGCTTGTTTATAAATTCTTTTTCAATGTTAATTTTTTTCATCTTAGTGGCACGACATATATCTGCCATTGGTAAAGGCCACGTGTATTATTCAGAAGACACTTGTAACATATACGAATAAAATAATTTAAACTTGCAGTAGAAAATACAGCCTTTTTTTGAACTGTGCTTCTTATTCTACGTTCTGCCTTAAGTCTTGTTTCATCTACAGCGAGTAAGCAGCATTGCTTTCTTGAGCCATACCAAAAAAATAACCTGGTGGAGTCAATCTTTGATTGCAACTAACCCATTCCAGGTTTGGCATTTTCATTTTTCTTTTTTAGTTAAGAAGGTCTCTCTTCTACTTCTCCTCCTCGCTTCCCTGTCTTCAAAAAAAAAAACTTCTATTTTTAATATAATTTGTTTCAGTTTATCATCGCATTGCTGAAAACACTTATTGCTGTAACAAGGGCTAATTTTACTGTCGCTGATTATTACCACAACTGTCACTATCGATATTCACAACTGCTCTCGCTACCAGCTGTAAATCGGAAGTTTTCTTTTTTCATTAAATATAAACATTTTATAAAAATCAACAATTTTATAATCACCTCTTTTTTATAGAGTATAAAATTCAGGCTCCCAAAATGTTGTGTCAAACCTTCTTGGAACCAAAATTGCATCACGAACGTTATTGTTTTGTGCTCTTACAGTTAGAAACTGTGTACTACTGATATATTTGTTTCCTTCCACCCATCTTTTACCTATTTCACTCATTGGCGCTCTGCAAAAAAATTTAGTGATGTTTTGCACTTTTTTTCA